CAGTATCTCTTCTCTCATTCTGTATGCATGGACTCTGCATAATACCACTTCTCTTCTCCTGTATGCTGGGTATAATTCTCAGTATCTGTTCTCATTCTGTATGCATGGACTCTGCATAATACCACTTCTCTTCTCCTGTATGCTGGGTATAATTCTCAGTATCTGTTCTCATTCTGTATGCATGGACTCTGCATAATACCACTTCTCTTCTCCTGTATGCTGGGTATAATTCTCAGTATCTGTTCTCATTCTGTATGTATGGACTCTGCATAATACCACTTCTCTTCTGTATGCTGGGTATAATTCTCAGTATCTGTTCTCATTTCTCATTCTGTATGCATGGACTCTGCATAATACCACTTCTCTTCTGTATGCTGGGTATAATTTCAGTATCTGTTCTCATTCTGTATGTCATGGACTCTGGACTCTGCATATACCCACTTCTCTTCTCCTGTATGCTGGGTATAATTCTCAGTATCTGTTCTCATTCTGTATGCATGGACTCTGCATAATACCACTTCTCTTCTCTCTCTGTATGCTGGGTATAATTCTCAGTATCTGTTCTCATTCTGTATGCATGGACTCTGCATAATACCACTTCTCTTCTCTCTGTATGCTGGGGTATATATCTCAGTCTGTCTCTTCTGTATGTATGGATCTGCATGCAATACCACTTCTCTTCTCCTGTATGCTGGGTATAATTCTCAGTATCTGTTCTCATTCTGTATGTATGGACTCTGCATAATACCACTTCTCTTCTCCTGTATGCTGGGTATAATTCTCAGTATCTGTTCTCATTCTGTATGCATGGACTCTGCATAATACCACTTCTCTTCTCTCTGTATGCTGGGTATAATTCTCAGTATCTGTTCTCATTCTGTATGTATGGACTCTGCATAATACCACTTCTCTTCTCCTGTATGCTGGGTATAATTCTCAGTATCTGTTCTCATTCTGTATGTATGGACTCTGCATAATACCACTTCTCTTCTGTATGCTGGGTATAATTCTCAGTATCTGTTCTCATTCTGTATGCATGGATGTATGGACTCTGCATAATACCACTTCTCTCTTCTCCTGTATGCTGGGTATAATTCTCAGTATATCTGTTCTCATTCTGTATGTATGGACTCTGCATAATACCACTTCTCTTCTCCTGTATGCTGGGTATTCTCTCAGTATCTGTTCTCATTCTGTATGTATCCGTGGTGGGGCAGTGTTCTGTATAAACACGTTTGGCGGGCTGTAAAGAGGGCCTGTCATGGGCGAGGTTTGTTGTCATTTCTGTTATGTGATGTAAAGGTCAGGGACGTTTTTCCCCTCATAGAATACAATAACCTGACAACATGGCAGCCGGTTTGTCCTGTTCTGCTGGTTCTGATCAGATGGCGCTTTTCAGTCGCATTTCCAGGATGTGGTAGGACAGCGGGGCCCCACACCTGCGCATCAGGCTCCATAGACCTTCCAAATATGGACAGAGATGTGATGGCTGTGGGGCCCCCAACATGCTGAGGGTCCAATAGGGATGTGCCATTCACAGCCCTATTCCGATTGGATGTGTATGTAGTGTGATCACTAGATGAGGACAGAAAGATGATAGATATGTAGAAAGATGATAGATATCTGTCATCTTTCAGCCTTTCTGTCGCCATTTCCCTCATCTTTGAGCCTTTCTGTCGCCATATCTGTCATCTTTGAGCCTTTTCTGTCGCCATGTCCCTCATCTTTGAGCCTTTCTGTCGCCATGTCCCTCATCTTTGAGCCTTTCGTTCGCCATGTCCCTCATCTTTTAGCCTTTCATTCGCCATGTCCCTCATCTTTGAGCCTTTCCGTCGCCATGTCCCTCATCTTTGAGCCTTTCCGTCGCCATGTCCCTCATCTTTTAGCCTTTCGTTCGCCATGTCCCTCATCTTTTAGCCTTTCGTTCGCCATGTCCCTCATCTTTGAGCCTTTCCGTCGCCATGTCCCTCATCTTTGAGCCTTTCCGTCGCCATGTCCCTCATCTTTGAGCCTTTCCGTCGCCATGTCCCTCATCTTGGAGCCTTTCCGTCGCCATGTCCCTCATCTTTGAGCCTTTCCGTCGCCATCTCCCTCATCTTTGAGCCTTTCCGTCGCCATGTCCCTCATCTTTGAGCCTTTTCGTCGCCATGTCCCTCATCTTTGAGCCTTTCCGTCGCCATGTCCCTCATCTTTGAGCCTTTCCGTCGCCATGTCCCTCATCTTTGAGCCTTTCCGTCGCCATGTCCCTCATCTTTGAGCCTTTCTGTTGCCATGTCCCTCATCTTTGAGCCTTCCTGTCGCCATGTCCCTCATCTTTGAGCCTTTCTGTCGCCATGTCCCTCATCTTTGAGCCTTGCTTTCACCATGTCCCTCATCTTTGAGCCTTTCTGTCGCCATATCTGTCATCTTTGAGCCTTTCTGTCGCCATGTCCCTCATCTTTGAGCCTTTCTGTCGCCATGTCCCTCATCTTTTAGCCTTTCGTTTGCCATGTCCCTCATCTTTGAGCCTTTCCGTCGCCATGTCCCTCATCTTTGAGCCTTTCTGTCGCCATGTCCCTCATCTTTGAGCCTTTCCGTCGCCATGTCCCTCATCTTTGTGCCTTTCCGTCGCCATGTCCCTCATCTTTGAGCCTTTCCGTCGCCATGTCCCTCATCTTTGAGCCTTTCCGTCGCCATGTCCCTCATCTTTGAGCCTTTCCGTCGCCATCTCCCTCATCTTTGAGCCTTTCCGTCGCCATGTCCCTCATCTTTGAGCCTTTCCGTCGCCATGTCCCTCATCTATGAGCCTTTCCGTCGCCATGTCCCTCATCTTTGAGCCTTTCCGTCGCCATCTCCCTCATCTTTGAGCCTTTCCGTCGCCATGTCCCTCATCTTTGAGCCTTTCCGTCGCCATCTCCCTCATCTTTGAGCCTTTCCGTCGCCATCTCCCTCATCTTTGAGCCTTTCCGTTGCCATCTCCCTCATCTTTGAGCCTTTCCGTCGCCATCTCCCTCATCTTTGAGCCTTTCCGTCGCCATCTCCCTCATCTGTGAGCCTTTCCGTCGCCATGTCCCTCATCTTTGAGCCTTTCCGTCGCCATGTCCCTCATCTTTGAGCCTTTCCGTCGCCATGTCCCTCATCTTTGAGCCTTTCCGTCGCCATGTCCCTCATCTTTGAGCCTTTCCGTCGCCATGTCCCTCATCTTTGAGCCTTTCCGTCGCCATGTCCCTCATCTTTGAGCCTTTCCGTCGCCATGTCCCTCATCTTTGAGCCTTTCCATCGCCATGTCCCTCATCTTTGAGCCTTGCTTTTGCCATGTCCCTCATCTTTGAGCCTTTCTGTCGCCATGTCCCTCATCTTTGAGCCTTTCGGTCGCCATCTCCCTCATCTTTGAGCCTTTCGGTCGCCATGTCCCTCATCTTTGAGCCTTGCTTTCGCCATCTCCCTCATCTTTGAGCCTTGCTTTCGCCATGTCCCTCATCTTTGAGCCTTGCTTTCCCCATTTCCCTCATCTTTGAGCCTTGCTTTCGCCATGTCCCTCATCTTTGAGCCTTGCTTTCACCATGTCCCTCATCTTTGAGCCTTGCTTTCGCCATGTCCCTCATCTTTGAGCCTTGCTTTCGCCATGTCCCTCATCTTTGAGCCTTGCTTTCGCCATGTCCCTCATCTTTGAGCCTTGCGGTCGCCATGTCCCTCATCTTTGAGCCTTGCTTTCGCCATGTCCCCTCATCTTTGAGCTTTGCTTTCGCCATGTCCCTCATCTTTGAGCCTTGCTTTCGCCATGTCCCTCATCTTTGAGCTTTGCTTTCGCCATGTCCCTCATCTTTGAGCCTTGCTTTCGCCATGTCCCTCATCTTTGAGCCTTGCTTTCGCCATATCTAGAAAGATGATAGATATGTAGAAGGATAGAATATCTCTCTTCTTTTTCTTTATCTATGCATTGCAGCTCCAGTGAGCCCAGTATGGGGGGAGGGGGTTGTCTGATGAAGACATTAATTGGGACTCAGACAGACCACTCGGAATATTCTTGGAAATGAGTTGGATGTAACAGAGACGTTTCTCCTGTAACCCACAAGACGTCCGAGTGCAGCGACCGCCGATCGATGGAAGTCAGTCTCAGACACACAGTAACCCTCGCTCTGATCTCTCCTCATTGACTGGCCTCGAGGCCTCGGAATATCTTCTTAATGAAGAGCCGTCGTGTTAGCGGCCCCTCTGCCTGGATGTGAGTCACCTTCCCTCCCCAACAGCCGAGAGGAGCTTCTAATAACATTCAATAATGAGGATAGAAGAGGCTCCTCACACTCATGGAACATCTATTCCTACTATACTGTCCTTAGGCGGGCGATACATTCATAACTTATTTTCCTTCTACCAGCAGGTTGAACGAAAAAAAATGATCAGATTTCCCCATCCACACATTTGATGTGGATGGGGAAATCCTTCCCACCGAGCTATTGGATTGTGATGGCGGAGAGCCTTCCTCACCATCAGAATACAATGATCAGTGGTGCTGGCTATAGCAGGCAAGGTAGAAGCTTTGGCCTTCAGTTTCTTCAATGGTGGTCCCTTCTGCATATCCATCATGCCCTAAGCTCCTACCTTTGTTGCCTTATGGATGATCCAGACCTCTAATGGAAGGAGTATTCTTCCCGCTGACCACCAATGTAAGGGACATTCTTCCCGCTGACCCCCAATGTAAGGGACATTCTTCCCGCTGACCCCCAATGTAAGGGACAGTCTTCCCGCTGACCCCCAATGTAAGGGACAGTCTTCCCGCTGACCCCCAATGTAAGGGACATTATTCCCGCTGACCCTCAATGTAAGGGACATTCTTCCTGCTGACCCTCAACGTAAGGGACATTCTTCCTGCTGACCCTCAATGTAAGGGACATTCTTCCTACTGACCCTCAACATAAGGGACATTCTTCCCACAGGCCACCAACGTAAGGGACATTCTTCCCGCTGACCACCAATGTAAGGGACATTCTTCTCACTGACCCCCAATGTAAGGGACATTCTTCCCGCTGACCCCCAACGTAAGGGACATGCTTCCCACAGGCCACCAACGTAAGGGACCTTCTTTCCACAGGCCACCAACGTAAGGGACCTTCTTCCCGCTGACCACCAACGTAAGGGACCTTCTTCCCGCTGACCACCAACGTAAGGGACATTCTTCCCACTGACCACCAATGTAAGGGACATTCTTCCCACTGACCACCAATGTAAGGGACATTCTTCCCGCTGACCACCAACGTAAGGGACCTTCTTCCCGCTGACCACCAACGTAAGGGACATTCTTCCCACTGACCACCAATGTAAGGGACATTCTTCCCACTGACCACCAATGTAAGGGACATTCTTCCCGCTGACCACCAACGTAAGGGACATTCTCCCCGCTGACCACCAACGTAAGGGACATTCTTCCCACTGACCACCAATGTAGGGGGCATTCTTTTCACTGACCACCAAACTATTGTACAGTGAGTTGTAGATATAGTAATTATTATCAGAGGGTCCCTGAGACAAAATATTTCGTTCAAGGGTTCCTCCATGATAAAAAGATTGAGGAGGGCTGCAATAGGGTATTACCATAAAATGCAATAATCTGAAGCACCAAGATCTATGGGAAAAAAATAGGAATGTCTTTACTTAGTGAAAAACACTAATAGAATGAAAAGGCAATTCCAGAATACGATGAAAACACTCAACCATAAACAATCAAATGACTGGACTCTGTAAGAGGGTATACAAATACAATCCATGTGTAAAAAAACTTACTGCATCAAACAATGTAATATTCCGCTAAAGTAACTACATACAATACACAATGTAACAAAAAGATGACAAATACATGGGAATGGGTATGTAGAATGATAATGTCAGTATATCAAATTAAACAACCCAACAAGCCACCACACAAAAACAATAAACAAAAAAGCACTGAAAATGTCACAAATGCCCCTGCCATTTCGGAGACCTTGCCACCCAATAAGAAGCAACGTCATAATGGGAGGGACCCAGAATCATACTGAAAGGCCAATAGAAAATTGAACGTGTGAAAGCAGTGATCTCTCTGCAGAGGTCTAACACACCCCCTGCCAGGGGCGGACTGACCACTTGGGCACTGCCCGAGGGCCTGGGGTCAGTAGAGGGCCCCATGAGATGCCCCTGGCACCTTTTTTTTTCAAAGACTTTTTTGAGTGTGGGTGAGGACACCGGGGCCCCATGATCCACTATTGCCTGGGGGCCCCATGAGTTGTCAGTCCGCCCCTGCCCCCTGCTAAGTCAGAGCTAGAGCTATTGCTGCCTGCTAGAAGTGACAACATAGTAGGGGGACCTTTGAATTTCATATCAAGGCTGCTGGAAAATACTGGAAAGAGCTATTCCTGCCTGCTGGATGTGACGACATATGGGGGAGGACCTGGAGCTCAACAAACGGCTGATGGGAAATGATGGAATGTATGGAAGCAGAGGTCTCTCTGCAGAGGTCCAACACACCCAGTGCAGATTCAGGGCTACCTGCATTGCCGCCCAATGAAAGTGACGTCATAATGGTCGGGACCTGGAACTCTGCTTTAAGGCCGGTGAAAAACAATTAATTGTGTGAAAGCGGTGGTCTCACTGCAGAGACCCAACACACCCTGTGCTGAGTCAGAGCTGGAGCCACTGCCACCCACCTGATGTAATGTCGTTATGGGGGAGGGTGGAGCTCTACTTTAAGCATGATGGTAAATGAATGTGTGGAAGCAGTGGTCTCTCTGCAGAGGTCCAACGCCCCCCCCTGCGGAATCACAGCTAAAGCTCACCAATCAGCAGGGAGAATAAGGTCTGACTCAGAAAGGGGTTAGTTGGATCTATGCAGAGCAGGGCTGTCTTAATGCATGGACACTGCCCAGGGGCCCCAGGTGCATGGGGGCCCCATGATAATCTTGCATTACATCATACTTTCCAACTGTCCCAGATTTACCTGGACAGTCACGCTTTTTATTAAGCTGTCCTGAGATGGCCTGGTATTGTGCCCTCCTGATCCTGGTATTGTGCCCTCCTGATCCTGGTATTGTGCCCTCCTGATCCTGGTATTGTGCCCTCCTGATCCCGGTACTGTGCCCTCCTGATCCCGGTACTGTGCCCTCCTGATCCCGGTACTGTGCTCTCCTGATCCCGATATTTTTCCCTCCGGATCCCAGTACTGTGCCCTTCTGATCCCAGTACTGTGCTCTCCTGATCCCAATATTTTGCCCTCCTGATCTCAGTACTGTGCCTTCCTGATCCCGGTACTGTACTCTCCTGATCCCGATATTTTTCCCTTCTGATCCCAGTACTGTGCTCTCCTGATCCCAATATTTTGCCCTCCTGATCTCAGTACTGTGCCTTCCTGATCCCGGTACTGTACTCTCCTGATCCTGATATTTTTCCCTACGGATCCCAGTACTGTGCCCTTCTGATCCCAGTACTGTGCTCTCCTGGTCCCAATATTATGCCCTCCTGATCTCAGTACTGTGCCCTCCTGATCTCAGTACTGTGCCCTCCTGATCTAGGTACTGTGCTCTCCTGATCCCGATATTTTTCCCTCCAGATCCCAGTACTGTGCCCTTCTGATTCCAGTACTGTGCCCTCCTGATCCTGATATTGTGCCCTCCTGATCCCAGTACTGTGCTCTCCTGATCCCAATATTTTTCCCTCCAGATCCCAGTACTGTGCCCTCCTGATCCCAGTACTGTGCTCTCCTGATCCCGATATTTTGCCCTCCTGATCCCAGTACTGTGCTTTCCTTATCCAGGTACTGTGCCCTCTGGATCCCAGTACTGTGCCCTCCTGATCCCAGTACTGTGCCCTCCTGACAGTGCATTACTTTGCCCAGGGGCCCATGATGCTATGAAGACGGCCCTGAACCACCGCTTCTAGACTGTAAGTGCCTGGTCACACCGGTGCAATTTCAGGTGTGATTTGTAAATTGAAATCACATCTAATGAATGTGAATGTCTGTGTCTTAACATTTGCGATTTTCTGCAGTGTGATTTCTGAAGTAGTTATTCGGGACTTTTTCTGCAGTCTTGTTGCAATCTCATATCATGGAAATCGCACTGCAAATTGCAAGAAATCATTGAAAATCTTCACAAGTAGCAGTAAAGTCTTCAGAAATCGCACCTGAAATCATGCTGAAATTGCGCACAAATTGCACGGTTTTAAATCGCAGCGATGTGACCGGTGACTAAGTGCCCAATCACACCAGGTGCGACTTGCCATGCCATGAAAGTTTCAAATTGCATGGCAAGTCACACCCTATTGTTCACAATTACAGCGGTCATATTGGTGCGATTTCCAGAGCCGCTCTGATTTCTAAAGTCGTGCATGCACTACTTCTTCAGCTGCGACTTGCATAGACATGTGTCTTGCAAGCCTCAGATGTCTTGCGAGTCGCACCTCAAGTCGGAATGACATCCAACTTTGAAATTGTGCGACTTTACTGAAAGTCGCACGATTTCAAGGTCAGAACGGTGTGACCGGGGTGTAAGGGTCCTTCGCTGTAGCATGCTGGCAGGGGATAGACTTTTTTCCCAGGGCTGTGGCTGCTTTTCCGGGGTGTAAGGGTCCTTCTTTGTAGCATGCTGGCAGGGCATAGGCTTTTCTCCCAGGGCTGTGGCTGCTTTCTGGGATGTAAGGGTCCGTCTCTGTAGAATGCTGGCAGGGCCTAGGCTTTTCTCCCAGGGCTGTGGCTGCTTTTCCGGAGTGTAAGGGTCCTTCTCTGTAGCATGCTGGCAAGGGATAGGTTTTTCTCCCAGGGCTGTGGCTGCTTTTTTTTCCGGGATGTAAGGGTCCTTCCCTGTAGCATGCTGGCAGGAGAGAGGCTTTTCTCCCAGGGCTGTGGCTGCTTTTCCGGGGTATAAGTGTCCTTCTCTGTAGCATGCTGGCAGGGTCTAGGCTTTTCTCCCAGGGCTGTGGCTGCTTTTCTGGGGTGTAAGGGTCCTTCTCTTAAGCATGCTGGCAGGGGATAGGCTTTTCTTCAGGGCTGTGGCTGCTTTTCCAGGGTGTAAGGGTCCTTCTCTGTAGCATGCTGGCAAGGGATAGGCTTTTCTCCCAGGGCTGTGGCTGCTCTTTTTTACGGGATGTAAGGGTCCTTCGCTGTAGCATGCTGGCAGGAGAGAGGCTTTTCTCCCAGGGCTGTGGCTGCTTTTCCGGGGTATAATTGTCCTTCTCTGTAGCATGCTGGCAGGGTCTAGGCTTTTCTCCCAGGCCTGTGGCTGCTTTTCTGGGGTGTAAGGGTCCTTCTCCTAAGCATGCTGGCAGGGGATAGGCTTTTCTTCGGGGCTGTGGCTGCTTTTCCAGGGTGTAAGGGTCCTTCTCTGTAGCATGCTGGCAAGGGATAGACTTTTCTCCCAGGGCTGTGGCTGCTTTTTTTTACGGGATGTAAGGGTCCTTCGCTGTAGCATGCTGGCAGGAGAGAAGCTTTTCTCCCAGGGCTGTGGCTGCTTTTCCGGGATGTAAGGGTCCTTCTTTGTAGCATGCTGGCAGGGGATAGTCTTTCCTCCCAGGGCTGTGGCTGCTTTTCCGGGATGTAAGGGTCCTTCTTTGTAGCATGCTGGCAGGGGATAGGCTTTTTTTCTCCCAGGGCTGTGGCTGCTTTTTACATAATGTGAACTGTAAGACTTTGCACACCTTTTATTTCAATGCACCTGAAGTTTATTTAGCTGTCGGTGTCACCTCTGTGAAGACTTCCTTTTATTTCCTGTGCGGGTGTCACCCAGAGCTTTCCATTGCAGAATGCACCACAGGCTCCCTAGAGGATTCTGCACAGGCATGTACCCTAGGGACAGGAAACAGGAAGTGCCCTGGGTGTCACCACGAGAGGAAACGACTGTAAATCTCCCCAATGGGGGTCACAGGCAGAAACTTGACACAGGACTTAAACCTTCCTCTGCTCTTTATATAAAAAAAAAAGTCCCTTTCTCCAATTTAAAAAATCGTTTTCTTTGTTGCGGTTGCACGCTGAAGACGCAGGTGATGGGAATAAAATGAGGGCGAAGAGCAGGTGGACGAATGTAACTTGAGAAAGTGACACCATCCTCCCTCCTCCAACAAAGGGCGTCCAAGAGCGCGGCGCGTTATCCAGCAGCTGACATGACAATTTCTGGATTACCGGGCAGATTAGATGGGCGGATGAGGCCGCCTCTCCTGCAGGTCAGGTTATAGAGTTGTCAACTCCAATTAAAAGAGCTATGGAGATTAGCAGGCGAAACCCGTACGGGCTGATTCGATGCAACGCAAGGGGCGGAGCTGATTCTGGCCATACATGGAGCAATTGGCAACCAATTTCAGCCCCTTTTCAATTAGTTTTGGATGGTTAATAAGATCAAAAGTGATTCAAGACCACCTAGCATGCATTCTCTCCCTGACCGATCAAATCTAAAGGTGATATAAATAAATGATCAATTTCTTTTCTCATCGATCTCTTCCGATAGAAAGTCACAAGGTGAAGCAGCAGGGGCTGATCTGTGTCAGACATTTGTGAACACAGCCAGGCACCAGGATTTATATGGCTGCTTCATTCCAGTCCTGACTGTCCC